ACAGATGATTGAACACAAAAAAATTGCATAGTTTCTTCCAATGATATGGTTTTTTGAAAAGAACGTATTCAGCGAACGTTATTGATGTGTATGTGTGTGAATTCGGTTGAATCGAATACTGCCGATCGAGTGAGTGCAGTTGTTCGTAACGAAACGATCCCATATAAATCTTTTTGAATGTGACAAAAAACCGTCTCCAAAATTGTTCACCCACAATTCTATTGTTCACAAATGTAATCCAATCAAAATCAGCAGGTTGCTTCAGCGTTCAATTTGCTCTTTTTTCAATATGAAATAACGCAATGACAAAATGAAAAGACTATTCCGCGTCTTCTTATAAATACAAATATTTCGTTTGTTCTTGTTTTTCACCCTTTCCACATTTCAATGATTTATTTTGAACATTAAATGAATTAAATGCAAAAATTCTTTTCGAATGTGCGCAATTGTAAACGTTCATGAACTTTCGATGCGATGTTTTGACAACAAACAAGAAGAATATCACTCTTACCTCTTAAAATCGTAAATGAGAAAATTTCTTCAGACAAAAGATTCATCGGAGGCTAAATAACAAGTTTTCATAGATAAATGCAGTGGAGTCTATAGGCAAGTAATATTGGCTATATAATGAGAGGTTCTACTGAATCATTCTGAAAGCATCGTTTCAGTAAGAAATGACGACTGGTTATGGAAGCTGCTGACATTTAGAAATTTTCCTCACTATTTTGACCTATACAAGATGATGCATGAATTCGTAATGAAATTTTCGCTAACTTGAGCTATGTATTGTTATTATGAGCACTGAATACAGATCTAATAAAAGCATTTCAAACGTAATTTACCAAATCTCATTATTTCATTTGCATTCCTAACTTATCGTTAGTATATCTAAATATAGCAATTCATTCGCGAAATGCCATCTCAAACAGGATTGATCAAGCATTTGATGAAAATCGTTTCAAAGATCTACGTTTTAACTTCAAATATCATTGAACGCAGTAAGTATTATGGGCAAATGATCATGTCTGAGAGTGATATGAAGTTCAATTCTTCATTATTCCAGATCAGCAATACAGATCAACTGAAGTGACTCATAACTTCTTCGAACTTATTTGCTGATCAAACCAGGACAAACTCGTTTCATCTGCTCAAGCAACTCAGAAGTGATTTTACAGGAATTGTGAATATTTTCGCAGATTTCGATCTCAAATTCATGGACGATTGGTAATCTGATTTAATGTGGATATCACAGATAATAAGCGAAACAAAATCACTGAATGTCAGTTGGAATGAGATTATCGGCTGAATGAAAAGTCGTCAATAAGAAGAAAGTTGATGAAAGATGACAGCAATTTGTTAACGATTGTTATCATCACAGTGGTCGTATGCTGAGAGAGTTATGTAAGCAGTAAATGCACTGTTTATGAATGCATCTCAACAGTAAAATCTGAACTGGCGGTGTGCATCATAAAAGGGTTCAGAAGTAGCGAGATCGACGGTTCGTTGTGAGTATCCAAAACGCATATGCGTGTTTGTTATCACATAATTAATCTCTCGTATACCACACCATCTCTTGCAATTCCCTTTGATCATATCAAATATCCATCCTCAACACACGCATTATGACTAGTGATGATTTGAGTACAGATAAAACAATTAGTCTAATGAAAATTTTGAGCCGATGAAATTTCAGAGGCACAAATTTTGACGATTACTCAGCAGTCTACTATTCAGACAGAAGCCAGAAGCACCAGAATTCTATTGAATATTGCCTACTGAGTGCACAAATCATTAATCTACTGATAAATGAGGCTCAGTAACCTTCAATACTTCACGATTCCTTATTTTATGATTCGTTTTGAATACCCTTAATCAATCTAACAATTTGAGATTTTTTACTTCATGTCTTTCGATCGTTCTCGAGGTTATAATTTCTGTATTCCATTACAACAGATTCAGTGTTGATGGCAAAAGCTTGTGAAAATGCATTACGAAACTCAGAATCAGAAAACGTGGCCATTCGTCAGAACAAATAGTGCGAACATGTGATTACAAGTGTTTTATTATAACTAGAAATAGAATTAATGCACTCGGCTAATGTTAAATGTAAGTGACTACATTTTTTCTGCAAATATCATTCAATATAGTAACAATGACAACTAAAACACTCTGAATAGACGAGTAAAGGGAATTTCGCTTGAAGGATTAGGCATCAATAAGGTTATCTTTTATTAGATTGCAAAGAATTTGCCGAGCACAATTGCTGGGAACATGCGATTTTGCATATATCACGCTATTAACGCTCAATGAACATTCAAAAACAATGGATACTCGAAGAAGAGTGTTCAATATAGCAATGTTTTCATGAATTAATTAGGATTATTTCTGTTATCACTCAAAATTATTGTATCGTAACAATACATTGTTGCATTTCTATAGACCAAATAGTGCTAGAATATAGAGGTGAATATACGCATAGAACGACATCAATCCGCACCAGTGTGAATTAACTTGACCTTTGCACTGATTTTGCGCGAAATTCTTTAGGGATTATTTGTAGAGCATGAATCTTGTCAAAAACTGCCACGATTATCAATTTTGCCGACATTTTATTGAAATTATTACTTTGTATAACTTCAAACGGTTTTTTGCCATGAATTTGATATTGTATAAGTGCACTTGCGAACACTGCTTGAATATCGAAGCATTAATGAAGATAGTTATAATGAGTCACTGATCTTAGGTGATATTTTTGAAGGCAACGAAGCGAAGCCAAATAATCTGCTATTTCCAGTGGGCTGAATTTCGTTCGTTACCAACATGCGATCACATGATTGAACTAATTCCGCATAACAGAACGCTTCGACTGAATTTGAAGTCGAAAACGCTCATGTCAACAATTCGAATACTGGGCAAAACGGCAAGAAGATGAAGTTTACAACGCTGTTGAAAATAGACGTTCTTTAATGGCATCAAGTTGGTGGAGATAGTAGAAGCAACGATTGAAGTGATTCTCACAGTAAATTTTATTTTCAACCGATATCATGCACTGCTTCATTACATAACAAAAGAACCTCTTGAGATCACTAGTTAATTGTTGATAAAATTAAAGGTGTTAGAGGGAACGGGGTCCCCGAAATCCCCGAACCCCGCAACACACTACAACAAATCATACATTACAGTTTTCATCTGCTCTCCACACATTCCGAAACTTTGCAAGACAAAAACACCTGTTAATTAGTTGAATTGGTTAGCAAAATCCAGTTCTCTCAACTATTACGGCTCACCGAGGTAGCTTCAGGGATTGAATCTTTTTTCCCACTTTTGAAAAAATTTCGACCCTGGCAGGACTCGAACCTACAATCTTCGGATCCGAAGTCCGACGCCTTATCCATTAGGCCACAGGGCCCACGTCTCGGAAGTCTCACTTTTACTATATGATCAATCGCTTAATATGTTGAGGGTTCTTTTTCAAAGCAAATGTGTAATGAATGGGTGTGTGATCAAACAACTATCAACAGTCCGCCTTAATGTGTTCCACTTACGAAGAATAATACGTATTCCATTTGGTGCACAGAAAACTGTTTTGACAGGAAATCAACACAAATCAGTTATTAATATTAACTCAAAAATTTCCGTCGTTTCGCCTTTACGGCATTATCGGGACACAGAAAAAAAATACGACAATACCGAGATAAAGAAGAGAAAAAGGTGGTCAAGTTTATTTTGGATCAAGAAAGGCATAAACTCAGCGGAACAACGAACAAAGAATCCGCAGCGTGAGCATCGAACAAACCTCATCACCGTTTCCTTTTCTCATTTTCATTGCAACTCGTCATATATACGGTCTCAACCAAACTTTTCATTATTAAACATTGTCTGTGAAACTGAAGTACCATACACACTATTGATTAATATAAGTACTCGAATAATGCAAATCGTGTGGTGACAATTCCTCAGTATGCTACGTTTTGCATAGACATATGTATTTATTCATCACCCCGAGACATGAATAACAGTCGTTACCGAGAGCAAAAAAATTGAAATCTTTTCATCACAGATAATCACAGTCACGACGGTACGCATCAAAGTCAAGTACTCATGCACTCATAATAACATGGATTGATACAAGCCAAGNTATAATCACAGTCACGACGGTACGCATCAAAGTCAAGTACTCATGCACTCATAATAACATGGATTGATACAAGCCAAGTTATAGCCTAGCTCAGTTTCGGTACCAACGACGACATTTGTAACCATTCAAACTGATATTTACAGTTCGTCCGCTTATCATGGAGATGATCAAATTTCTATGGCTCCTCAATTAGCTGGGAAGTGATTCTTTGTGTTTTATGCATTATCCTTGATGGAACTTATGAACTATCCACTTTAGTAAATGTTTATTTTGCGTGCGATTATCGTTGTTGGAATAATTGACACATCGAATTCATTTATGTGTTCATTCACAATTTCCTCACCTGATGTTCGCAACGCATAAACACACTCGTTGACTATCGACGTTCTGTGCTCATGCATTCAGTCGTTTGTTAAACCCTTACACTTCTCTCCATCGGGGTTCGCAACCCTATGTTTTACCAGCTTTTTTACAGTATTGTTCCATTAAGAAAAGATTATTAGAACTAATCTACAGTGGCCTTGTGGCCTAATGGATAAGGCGTCGGACTTCGGATCCGAAGATTGCAGGTTCGAGTCCTGCCAGGGTCGAAATCTTTTNCCCTGTCTGCTCAAATACCTTAAGTCATTGAAAACCTGTGGCCTTGTGGCCTAATGGATAAGGCGTCGGACTTCGGATCCGAAGATTGCAGGTTCGAGTCCTGCCAGGGTCGAAATGTTTTGCTTCATGAGAATGATTGCACTAAAATTTGTAATGCAACGAAAGATCTAACGAATTATAAGTTTGTAAGAATTAAACAGCTCGGCTTTCTGTACCGGAACAATTCATAACGTATGCCGTTTTGCGTATATATTGCACATGTTTAGAGGATCGGATTTCTCATAGGAGGAGGGCTTAAGATTGGTGTTTGCAAAATATCGACCATTTTCTCAATGTCGAGACCGGTGTTAATGCCGGCCGGTATCGTTTCTTGATACCGATACAATATCGGTATTGAAAAGCAACTTTTGAAATATAGATATATAACTTGCTCAACACATTCGTTTTGAACCAATCTGCTCATAATTATTCAGAAAACAATTTATTTAACAGATCACTCACCAAAGCTCAAGAAATTAAACCAAAAATGTAACAAAAAACAAAAATTGGTACGATTCATGCTCCAGTCGTGATGGATATATACCAAATTCCTTAAAATGACTTGTGATATGAATACCGAAAATACTGTAAATATCGTCACCACAAATCCCGAGATCGATATCGCTTTTCTAATACCGACATTCGGTATTACCGAGATGTCGTGCAAAAGCTAATTACGACCAATAATATTTTTAAAACTGAGAACAGACACAAGAAAATCACTGTACAGCAATAGTTATCTCTGATCCATCCGCTCATGGCAAATTGCATTGCGGATAAGCACAGCATACTGCGTGGAATGAATTCTTTTCATTATATCATATATACAAGTATTGTTGACAACATGGTTAGTTAGTAGGAGAATGATGATTCAGAAGCATTTTGCATTTCGGAATGATATCTGAAAGCGATATGGCCCATCGGTTGCTATCGTTGAACCGATCGATACTCACAAAGCATCTTTATTCTGTCGATATACAACAGCTTCATTCAGTTCGTACGCTTTGACTCGATCCGAGCGTTCAATCGGTACATTCACACAATACAAACGATTCATCTCTTCGGGTCGAGCTGAAATTTCGAATCATTTCTGACAGTAGTCACTGTCGCGTCAAATATTCGTTCGTCGCTTATGAGAAGTAAGAAAGTTTCGCTAGATGTAGTATTCAAATGTGCTTCCTATAGCTGAATGACGAAATGTTATTTGTAGAATTAATCAATGCATGTTCGGGATATTTTCGAATCAAATGAATTGAGTGGAAGTAGTCGTTTCATAATGTTGTGTGCTAGAGAACATTCATTCTTCATTGACACTGTGGACTGCAATTATAAACTTTGTTAGAAAAATGTACACTTGTTGCTTAATTCACGATATTACCAGAATGCATGCATTTTACTCAGTAATTGACAGAGTTTGACTCTGTTCAGCAGTCTTACAAAATCACTTCAGCAGTCAACTCAGTTACAAAATCACTTGAATATGCAGTTTATCATTAGCTCAGAGTAAAAGTGCAAAATCCATTGAAAATTAAAGTAAGTTCAAGCTGTTCTTACCAATATAGTCGAGTCGTGGTTTTCGTCGAATTACCTTATGCAAAATGCACTTCTCCCAACACGAACAAATCGCCAATGTAGCGGTGATTAGAATGAGAATTGCGATCAACGAAACACTAACAATTGCAGTTTTGCTGAAAAAAAAATCAGAATACATTGGAAGGAGGGAGTAAGGAGGTTCCGAAAAGATCTGGACATCGTCTCTTAGTTAATAAAAAAGTGGGAAAAGGTTGTCTGAATGGGCCGAACATTCACGAGAAGTGCTCGACATAAACAATTGCAACTGAGCAAAACTATTGCTAATGCACGCAATTGCTCGTGTCTTATCTTGATTCGCTTTGGTGCCAAGTCATTCGGAAATGCATACGCCGCATCTTTACATTAAATTCGCAACATTTTGGAGATGACCGTTTGCTCGAACAATTTCATGGCACAGCGTCATGCGAAAACCTCGAAATTAACTGCAGACAGGGAAGAAATTCGATCAGTTCCGAAATCGCCCAGTGACTGACGATTTTTACGACTCAGCAGCGCATGGACGATAACCGCAGATCAATCTAGACAATAGGGCAAGGAAGGGGGATAGAATGTTGAGGTAGGTGAGTTGAAATTCAAGAACTGTGCGGTTTGATTCATTCGTTTGAAAGGGTTTCCGATCGAAATTCGTCGTTCGCTGATAATCGACAGGCGTTTCGTTTATTCTGGTAGGCAAAGTTCAACGACTTGAAAATTTCAACGAATGCAGTATGAGTAAGTGTAACGAACTTTTGCTCGAAGACAGTTGCCTCTCGACAGCATCCAAATTTGGGTGGATTGTCACAGCAGTGATTTTGAAGTGGGTTATGCCTTTTACCTGGACAAACGTAACTTTCCAGCCAACGACCACTCGATCCGTATGAAATACCACCGCATAATGTCCTCTCTGCAATGCATTTTGTTTCATGAGAAACGCATGGTCAGTCACGTCTTGAAGGTGACTTCTTCCTGTTTTACTTATCGCTCGGGAATTGCAAATATTTCTGAGAGTTGTGGCGGTTGGATTCCAACACCAATGAGAGATCGAGCAGCTTCGCTTCTGCCATAGGCTAAAAAGCCTCACTCAACCCGAATTTTGAAGCTTATTTGCGCTGAAAAGTTGTACCGACACACAAACACAAATCACCATGCACTCTCATTATTCATGCGTACTTCACACGAGCACATTCATTCATTTCGCTATCGGCTGACAGCGAAAGATTGACATGCTGTTTGACGTGGTAATAGCAGTCGAATGAAAAATTGATCTCGGAATCCGGCGGAAGTAATTTCTATGCTTCGAAATCCAGTGAGAGCAAAAAAATTATGGATTTTTCGATGTTTGATAAAATCCGTCTGACTTTCTCATGATTTTATCATTTGGTTATACCAAACCAACTCCGAATTCTTCAGTCAGCATCCGTTTTGACTATGAAAAACTTCAGCGTTCACCAAAAACCAAAAAATATCCCAAAACCGGAAAGTCGACTTGATTTCATCCATCGAATTTTAAGTCGGTTACAATCAATAGCTGTGGACTGACCAGTCAAGATATAAATACTGCTCGACCAGTTCCATAGGCTTTAACGATAGAATGCATAAATTCACTTTTTGAAAGCGTTTAGACTAGTGGTCCCAACGCTCAGATGCTCCATTACCCCTTTCGATGGTCTGGCAGGCCGTCATTACTTCCCACTTTCCCCCTGTTCTATTTCAATGCTTACCATCAGACCTAACTTTCCGACATCCTAAAATTACCCAATAATGAGTAATTTTCCCCTATGGGGACCACTGATCTAGACTACATTCTTCTTTGAGTCCAGAGGGCTCAATTTGTCAGATTAATAGTTTCATCAACCGCGTCATTTGTAAAAAATTTATAAAAGAAAATGATGGTTTGTTACCTGAGTTACTATGAACAGTGTGAATGAGGAACAATGAAAATGTGAATTTGTGAAATGTTTCAATATCAAACAGCATTTGAGACAATAGCAAACAAAACACGTTGAATGCAGTCAAATAACAACAATGCACCAACACCTCGTAAACTGTTCAGCGATATGTGGTCGTTGTTCGTCATTTATGAATGTTTTTATCAATATTCATTGCTGAAAACGATTTCTTTTAATGGCTTTCACGCATCACAAAAATATTGAACGCGTTGAATGTTCTATAGAGAACTGGTTTCGTGAAGTGTTTTATATAACGATACATAAGAGAAATTCACCAAGGCTACAAGCATTGAGCAACTGTGAACGAGTATTTCAATTAGCTGAATTTAAATACTGATTAAAGAGAGTTTTTGGAAGTAATTGGAAAATTGCAAGTTGAATTTGAACAAGCCAAACACGCCGTTCCTATCGAAATAATTGCATCCTAAATGATTCCGATGAAACTTGATAAAAGTTTTCTGAACTCATCTTTGCGTTCCTTTATAGAACAACAAAGTGTTGGTCATAAGCACTCGAGGTTCACAATCAAAAAATTATCATGAAAAAGAGGAAAATTACTGTTCAACAATGAAAAAGCATTAGCAGTGCAACAATCGACGGAAGAGTGATAAAATAGTCGATAAAAATATCGCTTCAACCCATGTCCAATCAAGGATATATAAGAAGCAAGTTTCAATATGATACGGCTAGGACATTAAATGTGCTAATCAACTGTCGATTCCATGCATATTTCGAAGAGGATATTTGGTTTTCGATGGAGCTCACTTAGTTGTAAAGATTTTTGGATATTCCTGATCTATACAATCAAACAACACCGTGAATTCTGTATCATAGGGATGGAATCGCAGATAAATGAAAATAAAAAGTCGAGAATTTGTTAGTCGATTTCCATGATTCACTATGAACACTGATTTCAGAAAATCGACAACTTTCATGGAATGTCAGTGAACCAGTAACGTTTTCATCCTATCATTCACTGCTCGATTTCTCGAGCACTTCAACATCCTTCTTGTCGTTACTAATGCAATTGCTGTTTTCATAAATTCGCTTGGTGATTCATCAATGAAACCAATAAATTTCGAAAAAAAATTTTTATTCAACTAAATGAAATGTTAGATGGAGATATTCAAATGAAACAGCAAGAAGAATAATCAATCCGGGAAGGAAAGCATCGACGAAATACAATCAATACAAGAACAAGGAATTTTGATTGAATAAAACAACGTCACGTGAATAGCTGAAAGTTTTGCGTAACGCATGGGGCAACAATTAAATAAGGTAATGAGATTAAACGACATTACAACAACAGAATGGATTTATCCGAGGATAGATGCACCGTCGGTTTGAGAGGATGATGCACTTAGAAAGAATGTTTCGTGTGATTGGATAGAGTGAGTGAGCGATGTGTTACTTTTATGCAAAGGTAGTCAGTTATCAAAGAGAATTACAGTCGAATGATTAGCGAAAATTGTTGCATACGAATGTAAATATCACAATATGCTGTACAAAACAAGCTTCATTCGATAATACCACGGTATAAACCAACGCTTCTCAAACTTTGGTTTTAAACTGTCAGAGAGGCTGCAAACAATTTGACAGCAGTATGAAACATTTGGAGCACAATAATATAGCCTATAAAGAGAACAATCAAAAACACATCTTATTATACAACGTTCGTTTTTCATACCTATTCCAA